ATAAGCAAAAGAAATTTAAATTAAAGGGAGTACAAGGGGTACTCCAACCCATTACAAGAGACACATAGACAAAATTAGAATCCAGGCTAGAAAGAAACTATGAGAAATACAAACTCGGGTTATAATACCAACTTGTGTAACTAAAAGAACACCCAGGGACAGAACTATTAATCCACTTCCATGAACGCAATTTAATATTATCCAACACTTCCTTGCAATCTGTAGTACCTTGTTGAAAGATAATGACATTTCGATGAAGCCACAGTGACCAGATAACAGAAACCCAAACCACCCGCAAAAAGTGAGAATGTTTTTTATATATACCAAGATTCGTCCAATATAAATAAAGAGAAATTAAAGAATTTGGAAAGACATATATATATATATATATATATATATATATATATTTGTAGTGATGATGATGATGATGAATATCTATGTTGTAAGTTGGTAGATGAATTGATGATGTTAAGAAGTAAGTTGTATATTGTATAAATGTTAAGTCGTGAAGTTATGGAGGTGTGGTAGAGTTATATGTCATAATTATGATACATGGATGCCATAGGTGAATTATGATACATGGATGTCATAATTATGCTACTTTTTTAAAGTTGGTTTTTCTTCTAAGGTCTATGTGGATTGATATGGAGGTAGTCGAACCATATCCTAGTTGAATGACTAACCGAGTAAAATATGAAGTCAGAAACTTAGTCTCAAACTTAATATTGGAGGATTGTGGTATTTGGAGGGTAACCAATGGGCTAATTCCATAAATGACTTAGTGTTGTAAGCTAATGACGTGGTAGATCAATACCCAAACTATTCTACATTGACATAGTACTATATTTCTTAGTTTAATTAAGTGACAAACCTAAGAAATCAAACTAAGTTGTCTATACCTGACTCTTTTTAAGGCCTAACATTGTATTATACCTAATCTAGCTAAGATAGGTCTAACACTATGGTTCGGTAGGGGCAAGCCATTTAAACTGCTCACCTTTGTTGAAGAAAATCTCCTTAGTTAACATGCATGACGATGCATTAGCTATTAATATACACATATGTTGAGATGTTGAGTAATTTGAAGTTGCTAAATATTGAGTATGTTGTTAAGTTGTGAGTTATACTATTGTTGATATATGCTTTGTTGCCCTTGTTGTATGTTATTTCTTTTGTAAGTTTACCTTTCATTTTCTTGTGATTGAGACTATGATGACCATATTTGGTATGTGAGTAAGACAGGATTAGGTGATTAGTTGAATTGATGATGCTGAGTCACATTAGAAGTGAATTGTTTTGTATAACTCTTCTAATAGAGTCATGTTTTGAAGTTCTTAATCAACCATCTATAAGATATTTATGTGATGGTTTAGACTATGGTGTATATAATATATATATTGGATTTTTATATCTTGTGTACATTGCATACATTTTACCTTATGCATGAATATTACTATATTAGTTACTTTTATAGGTTGATCTCTAGATGATTTATGTATGTTTTCTTTTAACTTTCGCTTTGTCGTGAATTTTTGTAATAAGTATAACAACATGTCGAGTCATTACAACTGAATCTTATTACTATTTTTTTTAATATATGTATATATTTTTTAAATTTAAATATGTTTTTATTTTTATTTTTATGAATATAACAAAATTTAGTTTGTTTTATAATTTTTTATTTTAATTCTCATAAAATTAAATTTTAAAATAATAATAATAATAATAATAATTTGGTGATGACACGATATTATGCCTGTAGACAAACCACGACAACAACAATTTTAAGGTGACATGTGATATGTTTCTATATATGTCATTATAAAATAAATGTTTCGAAAAAATAAAAAAATAAAAAATAAAACCAACAATTTTCGGTAAAAACTAAAAAAATCGTTATATTTATGGGGATTAGCCGTGATATTAAACATATTTTTTGAATATACATACATTTTCTTATTAAATAAATATCATTTAAATTTATTAAAACTTTTAATAAAAATCATATAAAATTTTAAACAAAAGAAAATATATATAGTAAGCATTCAATTTTGTAGAGCCTTGTGGAAGGAGTTGGTGGACGTGGTGGAACGAATGGCCCTACTCAACTGCCATTTTTCATGTGGCTTCTTCGTGAATCTCCTGAAGCTAATTTCTTTACGATTATTATATTTCTCGATAACGTTGAAACCTTTTTGTTTATCATAAGATTAAGATTGAAAAACACGTATTCACGTCATCTCAACTCGCACAATAACGAGGGAGAAAAATTAAAGTAATTTATTATTAATCAATATTATCTTAAGTCAGCTAAATTTTACATCTTATTAAATGTTAATTAACGCTTAGTACATTTTTTTTTTTTAAAACGCTTAGAACATTATAGTAATAGTTATACTTGGATTCTTAAAAATGATTGATTTTATTGAGAGGCAAAGTATTTAATACTAATGGTGTCGTGGGTGGCACACATAAATGATAAATGTAATACCTTTGTTTGAGTTGAGGAAGTCGTTAGAATCGAATTCTTCGCCCTTTTAATTTAATAATAAATATTTATGTTAGCCGGGCCGGCCCCGTGTGTCCGGAAGTGCTGCCACCCCTTGCCTAGGGAGGCCGGTTTATTTTATTTTTCTAAAATTATATAATTACAAATTTTTTATATTATTTTTAAAAAATAAAATTTCCTTTTATCTACACATCTTTGTATCGAAACAATATGATTCTAAATTTTTATTATTGACCTTTTATGTATTATATTTATAAATAAAAAATATATATGTTTTTGTTATATAGAATTTTTTAAGTTTGGTTTGTCATGTTTTGATCTTGTTTGAAAATGTATAATTTTTTTCTTAAAATTATTTATATGTTGATTTTATAATAAATGATAGTATAGAGATGAATTGAGCAAAAGTATAGTATATTTTAAAAAAAATTGTTAACATTATATATTATTTGTTTAATATCATAAAACATGTCATTTTTAATTAGTTAATTAATTAATTTTACATTAAATATTTATATTTTAAAAAGGGTTATATGTAAGAATTTATTTTAACAAATCGTAAATTTGAGTGGTATTGAATTCAGATAACTTAAACAAGATATCAGGGTAATCACTCAAATTCTCTAATGGAGATTAATTATATATTTTGTTGATGAATATTTTGTATCAATAATATGATCTAGATGTTAATCTTCTTCTTTTTGTGATAACTATGACAATGATACAAAGTATTTACCATTAGAAACAAATTGGTCTCCATTGAAAGCCATGAACACACAAGATAGGATATTCTTCTCCCAACATAATGTAATTCTATACTCAAGGTCAAAATTCAAACCCTAAACATCTTAATTGAGAAACATAAGTAATTATCACTTATATCAATTAATGTTGGCTCTTGAGTTTAGCATGAATGTGTATTACTTTCGTTTAAGTCTTTAACACAAACTCTAATATTTAGAATAGACATATTTGAAATTGTGATCATATATTTTTATTCATTATTTTTTTAAATTATACTTTTAGTTTTTTTAAAATTTAATTTAATTATACTATTTCCAAATGATTTATTTTAAGTAATTAAAGTAGATGAAATTTTAAAACATTTATTATAAAATTGAATAATTTTTAATTATATTTCAATTATACAGATAATGTGATTTAAAAATGTGCTAATATAATAATCCTATTTTTAATTAGATTAGAAACATGCATTACTAACTTAAGTACACGCATAAGTTGTACTCTTGTACAAACTTTCCCAATATTTTATAAAAAGTTTTAAATAAAAAGTAAATATATTTAATATTCTAAGACACAAAAAAAAAATACCGTATAAAATAAATAAGACTGTAAGGAAATATTATAGGAAGATAAAGATAACATGAAAGAATTCAAAATTAATTTTACCATACAGATTCAAAAAGTGATATAACAACAACATAACGATAACAAGCAAGCATGAGTGGGAAAAAAGTGGAAAATAAAAGGACAGAAAACAGTACATGGGAGGGGCCACGGTGTGAAATTGGGAGTTGCCAACTGTCGACAAGTGTTGTCTATAATAGCTACATCACCTCCTCAATCTTTGCCTCTATAAATATGCCGTTTTTGAAGACAGCACATACCATGAAATCATGAGAGAGGGATCTTTGTTTGAACAAATCTCTACTTTCCTGTAAATTTGGTTCCCTTTCCCTGTTATGTTGTTATCTATCTATAGTCTTTTTCCTACCCTTATCCCTCGCTCCCTGTAATTACAAACTCTTCCACCATTGGATCTGCCCTTCCTTCCCCTTCCGGCAAAGGTACCCCCTTTTTTTCTTCTTTATGTTTTATTCTTATTCTAAGGCCCGAGACTAGTTTAAAGTTGTTGACTTTTCTCGGTTTCGTGGCTGCCCATTTTTTAATCCTTTATGTTTTTTAATGTTGATGCAGGTATCATTGTATAAATATACTTTTTCTGGGGTTATTTTGTTATGTGTTGGCCTTGTTTCTTTCCTGGCTTAGAACCATTTATGTGTTTTCCTTACTTTGATTACCTCCAACTATTTTTTGTCCTAAAGGGTTTTACTTTTATGTTTCTTCCTTTTTATCTCAAGACTTGATTATTTTTTTTTGTCTGTTTTGTTTAAAGGTTTGAAATTCGAATAGTGGCTTTTGGGAGCTTAAAGTTGTATCATTTGGTTTACTTTTCCATGCCCTTATAAATTTTAAAGGGAAAAGTAAGATCGTTAATTATGTTTATAGGTTAGGCTCAACTGATTGAATTTTTTCTGTAATTGTGATGCAGGGTCAGTCTGTTCCTGGGATTACATTTATTTTTTGTTTGCTTTCGGAAGGGTTGTGGTAAAATAGAGCCTAGGAAGGGAAAGAAAAAGTTTTGGCGGTTAATGAGTACTTTATTATTGTCTGGATTTGTCTAATGTGCAATCATATAACTATAAAAGGGGTCTTAATTGGGGTTGAGTTGTATTGCAAGTTGTCTTATTGACGATTTATGGTTTCAATTAGACCCTTTGTGCATAACATCCTTTGAGGAGGTCATTTTGTATGATGGGTTGAGTTCAAGGATTAGGTCTCTGAGGGCAATTAGTGGAAGATTTATAGAATAACAAGCAGGGAGAAGTTGGATTAGGGTTTGAGATGGATCATAGAAGTGCAAAGGATAGGGATACTGAAGTTGATCTTGAAAGTGGATTGCCACTAATTGGAGATAATTCAAAGAGAGTCTCTACTCCTGGTGGTGCAAAACCAGGAAAGACATTATTTGCTAAGGTTTCTTCTGGGTTTGTAGGAGGTTCTGTTAAAGGTGATGAAGGGACAAATTTATGCTGCAATGAATCAAATTTAAGGGAAGTTTCTGCGGATTTGATGAAAGTAACAAACAAGCCAATGGTGGGGAAGGATTCGGCGAATCGTACGCCGGCGGGGAAGGACAAACGGAAAAAGGCCTGTAAAAAGGCTCCCAAGCCTCCAAGACCTCCACAAGCTCCGACATTGGATGCAGCTGACCATAAGCTAATCAAGGAGTTATCTGAACTTGCCATGTTGAAACGCGCGAGGATAGAGCGTATGAAAGCCTTGAAGAAGATGAAGATTGCTAAGGCATCAGCACCATCTTCCAATACCAGCAGCATTCTGGCTTTGCTGTTCACTATTGTCTTCTTTGTTGTCATAATATTCCAAGGTAACATTTGGGATTAAAGTAGATTTTGAAATTTGTCACTCATGTGGCATTTTATTTATAATCTTGCGCATTACAACATGTAGGGATTTAGCATTTTCATTCCAAATTTTGAAATAAGTACTATGGTTGGTGAATTGTCATAAAGCTTTCATTTTAAAACACACTGTTCTGTCAGAAATTGATAGGATCGTTAACTTACTAGAATATGGGATTGATTCAAATATTATGGAATCTGAACTGCTTGGACATGTTTACTAGGAAATTTTCACATGCGCTATAGAGCTCTTATTTGACTCTTTCTGAGACAATTTGCTATAAATAGCTCACTTTTTCCAACAAGCTGCTTAGAGATTTATGATCAACTGATCACGGTTTTGCTTTCTCTTTCCGGATCAAACTCCCCTTTTTTCTTTGATGTGTTCACAATTGTGGGCATAAAGGATTGCAATTATGCTGCAAGATGGTTCCCCGTGGTTCAGTTTCCTTTCATCAATATTTTGATAATATCTTAACTATGTTTACCTTTTATGGTCTATAAATTCTCATAATTTTATCAATCATTCACCTGTTACTTTTGGTTTAAATTATAAGGTATGCATGTAGTATGCAAGATGGGATCAAAATAATCCCAATGGTCTTAATTCTTTCATATGCTGACAAGTTTCAACATTTTAGCTTAATCATTTTTGTTTTAATTAGAAGTTCCTTTTGCAGGCATGTCATCTGGAAAAACCTCAGTGGTAAGTTTCCAGGGATCTCCTGTATCTGCAGGGGGATCAGAGGGTGGTTTAATTTCGATTGAGTTCCAACCCAATCCTTCTGCAAGTAACTCAAATGCTCCTGGTTCAGAGTCTCATAAGTAAGTTCAAATGCACGCCACACAACACATTGAACCTCTCCTTTTGCTCATTTGTTTCCTAAATGTATGTGGATAAACTTCTTCAGATGTACTTATGGAAAGAAAAATATAAAGAAGTGAAATAAACTTCTTTCTAAACTAAAACTAGTAATTTTTTGAAGAAGCTATATCTTTTAGCTAATTCTAGGTTATGGAGAAGATATATTTCATTTTTTTCTCCCTATTTTTTTCCCTTAGAAATATTTTTTGCAGAAGTTAACTTTAAATACATTATTAGTTAAAAATTTGCCTAATATCAATTTTGCTAATTCATGTTATTGGCACCTTGCAGTTTTGTACAGCAGGTAGCAGGTTCTGATTTGCCTGAAAAACCTATGAGAGATTCAGGTTAATGCACTTTTATTATGAGAAATAATATCAATGCCTGTATTTAACGACGAGATTCTCATGCTACTCCTTCAAGCCCTTAGTCTTGACTTTCACGATATATATTTCTTTATTTGTTGGTAATTTATCCCCTTATGTATATTAAATCAAAGTTGGGGGTGAGTTAAATTACCGTAACAGTGCTGCTAGCTTCTTCATTGTCTTGCTCAACACGTGTTGTTACTTTTCACCTCTTCAGCAACTTTTGGTTGCCTACGCTGGATGAGAATTTGAGTTGGAGATTTTGCTTTTGAAGCCCACAAGCTATGATTCTATTTATCATGTTCAGGTGTCTTTTTTGTCACCGCTTTAATTAAGACAACTGGTATGTAATAATGTGCTTTTTGTTACTAATATTTTACGTACATTAAGCACATTTCAGAATAAAGGGGCTTCATCAATTACTTTTCTCGCCAGAAAGGAAAATTCTCATTCAGGATAACCATTGAGGCGTGTGGCACTCTGAATTTCCAATTAAGAATAAGGTGTCAGATGTGGCTCTCGATATTGTCAGATATGATGCCAATTTTGACTTTTATTAGCATGAACATGTGACATTGCTTCATTTGGGATCCTGAAAAGAAATTAAGATAAATTGAACATTGAATCGGAGGCGTTTAACATGCTTATAGTAGGTACACATTTGTGGCTGTTTTAAATCAATGGCTAGAAATAAGGATGATTACTAAATGTTTCCCCAGAGGTTTGACTCTTTCGGATTTGATGCTCTTATAATAAGATATGATGTGAAAATAGGAGCAGATGCCATAAAAGTAAGATAAACTTGAGATAAATTTAAGTCATTTCTAATGTTTGATGTGTATTATACTAATGAATTAGATAATATTATATAAATTAATATATTCATTATAATAAATAATATAACATTATAAATTAATATATAAATTAATATTATTTAATATATTTTAAAATTTATATTTAATTTATTACATTATTTATTTATTATATATATTTTTGTTATTTGTATAATCTATATATATATATAATAATAATGCATTACAATATAATTTAATATAATATATACTGTAGTATAATATAACATATTGGATATGGAGTTGCATCATGTCAGGTCCCGTCTCATGTTCACAAAATATCAGAATTGTATAAAATAAAAAAAATAAAAAAAATCCAAGAGTTCATGGCAGGTGTTTTGCCTGTTTATTTATTTTTAATAAGAAATGAAAATTTAACGTTTTATTAAAAAAAAATTAACAAAAGTAATTAATTTATTATTATTATTGTTGTTATTGTCGTCTAAGAGAAAAAAAATATCTCAAATACGACCCTATTTTCACGAGCAAGTTATGTTATTACTCAACCATATTTTCATATTTAAAAAAATAACTTAATAATTACCAAATAAAAATTCAAGAAAACAACTTTGGGTTCATATTCAAGAAAACAACTTTGAACCTTGGACCTGAGCACTCTGATTCTCTATTTATTTTCCCTTTGTTCAAGAACATGCAATAAATGGAGGACAGACTCACAATCAACCAAAAAATTAGGGGTTAAAAGTTTAAATAATACTCCCTTGGTCTCATACACAAGAAAACAAAAAAACTAAAGCTAATATATTGATGAAAAAATTATTTTTACAAAATAATGTTGAGAATAATCAACACAACTACTTTCTGAAAAATATTATTACGGATGTAAATAATAAAAAAATTAAAATTACTTTAACAATTGAAATAATATTTATTTTTTGACTTATTCTCTTTTACACGACAATTAGTATTATTATGAGACTGAAAGTGTGAGAAAAACAAACATACCCAGAACATGATGTTCTATAGGAAAATAGATCCTCTTCATTTTCATTTCATTTCTTAAATTTTTTGAAAAATTAATAAAATAAAATTAATGAAACTGATGCATATTTTAGAAAGTGACATTTTATATTTTTAAAACTTTAATAATAAAAAATAGAGAGAAATTTTTACTCGTTCAAAGTTTGTTAAATTCCTCTTCCATACGAAGCTTCCTCATAAGGACATCGACACATGTGCTAGAAGAAAATTCTGGATGAGTGAAACTCAATTCCACAAATGCTAAGAAATTTCTTCCTCAAATCCCAATTTCATAATAGAATTAGGAAACTACTATGTTCCAAATTCCAATAGGTTGTCTAGTTTTATAGCTTCTACCTACTCATTTGAAAGTTTATTACTTGGGAAACTATTTCCACGCATAATTTTTGTCCACATACTGTACTTAAACATGGTCACTCTGATAACTTGCTTTCACCTATCAATTACATCGATGAATGAAAGATAAAAAAGCTGCATTCATTTGCATCTTACACAACACTTTGTTAGTGCAGAAACATAGAGGTAGTCAAAAACCGTATGGTTTATAAAGATCTGCTTCAAAGTACACATTCAAGGAAGAACCACACATTATACAAAATCAACCATCTAAGTGTTTATTCAATAAGAATTAGACTACTACTATTACTAGAACTAAGTTACTAACTACTCGATAATCATCTTCGATAATACTTCTAGAATGAGAAAATATGAAAAAAAAATGAAATAATATTTTTATAAGCTAAAATTAACTTATATATTAGTTAATTTATATTAGTTTATGCAAAATTTACTTCATTTTTTTTTCATATTTTTTTAACCAAAAGTGCTTTTAAAGATAAACTAAATGGTATACCTACAAGAAATGAAACAGAAAAGATTGATGAACAAATCATCCCTTAAGAAGCAATTTGATTATAGCAGAAGCCACATCCACGAGCTTCTGCACAATGTCGTTTCTGTCCCCTAAGGGTGCCTGAGATGCGCCAGAGAATTTCTTGTTACAGCTATTGATTTCTTTGAGAGCATCAGAAATGCAGTAACTGGCAAAGCCAAAACGGCCTTGGCTTATGGCATCAGCAGCTTGAGGGAGAATGTACTTGACAAGAGGGATATAGGACTCAGCACAGAAGGCCAAGGCTTGCTCCAACTCACGGTCTGAGGTGCTCTTGATCAGCCCCTCAATGTAACTCAGTGTGTCACTTGCATTTGCCAGAATGTTGTTCACCATCAAGAGTGCCACCCCTTTGAGATCAGGTTTCGGACTGAGAGGGTTTGAGTGCAGGATGGAGCTGCAAAGGTCGTAAAAGGGTGTCTTTTTGCATATTTGGTCTGCCAAATCGCCATTCCCTTCCTTCCATGGGACAGACGGTTGGGAGAGTGTGAAGGGAATACAAGTGGAAGCAAGGAGAATGATGTGAAGTGCAAAAGAGGACACCAAGTTTGGGATTCTCCTCATTTTTTTCTCTTGTGATGATGGGTAGGGGAATGAGAATGGTCTAGGCTCTTTCTTGGCTCCTATTTTTAGGTTCACAGAATGATCATTTGCTAGTTCTTGGGGGGTATGTACCTCACATGAGAACAGAGAGAAATGTGATGTTAAGAGGGTTAAAAAAAAGAAGCAAATAAAAAATACAAAAGTAGGTGTAAGAATTGAAGTGTAAAAACAATAGGATTTACCAACATAGTTAAATTATTCAGAGTATCATGCCATTTAAATATGTGATTAGAAATTTAATATTAAGGTATGTGTATAAACTTGAAAAGAGCACATATCATCTAATATTGTTATTACAAATAAATTTAGCTATTGATTTTACAGCATTTTGTTTCTAAATAAGTCAACTAAGTAAGAATTGTAAATGGATTCCATCTTTTAATTATTAAAAAAATAAGTTGAGAAGAGACAATTTCTTTTATACATTGAATAATTAATTAATTTTTAAACTTAGATAACAAAAAAAATTGATAGATTAGAACAATTTATTTAATAAAAATTCATATTTGATTATTGTTATGTAGAAAAATTCATCAAACTACTCACAGTCACATAATTGTGAGCAAAATTAGCCTCTAACATAATGAAATAGAGACACCCGTGGTAGAGAAAAAGAACTTGAAAAAAAAAAAAGGATTGTTAAAGTTAATTTAATCATTAGAAGTGTTAAAAAATTAGAAATAAGAAAAAATAGTTGGACCCCTAAATGTTGTTGTGGGTGTTTTTTTCTATGTTATGTGAATTTTGCAGCCCTTTCTAGTTTTTACATTAAAAAATGGCGAGGTTTGGTGTTTGGTGATTGCTGTTTTTAACCATGGGATGGCCTTGGCTCTACACGTTGTTTAAAGTTAACTTGGCCCTTGGTTCACGGGTGTCTTATTCACTTGGCTTTTCTGGTCAATGCCACACCTTCTTTTATGTCCCCTACCCTACCTCAAGATGCCAAATTTGAGAACTTTCTAGACTATGCTCTCTTCATTGAACCCTTCTGTTGGAACTAAAGAAAGAAGAGAGGGCCTAAGACCGACACCACCACGACCACTGTTTTGCTACTCGGATTTCATTCATTAAAACAACCACCCCATGATTACGTGTAATGTAATACACCTTTTTTTTATAATGTTTTTTCAAATATCAAAGCAGAATCATTAACTAGCGCACCAAAAGACACTTGCTAACTAACAAGAATTATTGGCATCATCGTCTACTTCCCTCCTAGAGAGTTTCTGTACTGGCAAGGCCTTTCGGCCACTATATGGTCGACACCCGATCGGCACCTGAAAGACCGAACTAGGTGACCGACACTCAATCGGTACCTGAAAGGCCGAACCAGGTGGTCAACGGCTGATTGGCCATTGGATACCTATGGAATATGAACTATCATTAATCAGGGGACAAGAATTATCCTTAATCAAGAGTTAAGAGTTAATCACATTGATAAGCTGATTAGAGGCGTATTACCTAATATGGTAATCTTGTCATAGGGCCTAGAGGGGTCAGGGTCCATAAATGTCAGTATAAATAGCTCAAGTAAAAAGGTAACGTCACTGTTCATTAATTATTCTAGATACTCGTGCATGTCCTGACTTGAGCATTGGAGTGCCTTTTGCAGGTACCAACCCCTTCACCGGAATATTCTATTGGAGTACTCATTTGGCCCTTCACCACCCAGAAGACTACGAGTGTATCCCAGACAGGTACATTTTGGCGCCCACCGTGGGGCCGAACTGAGGCGATACTAAAAGATCAACTAAGCGAAGCAATGACGATAACTAAGAGAACGAACGTAGGAGATCATCAACCTGAAGAGGAAGAACATGTAGAAGTGGTAGACGAAACCGATCTCTCTAAGACTGTTCGGCTGTTGAAACAAGAGATGGAGGCAATGAAGCAGCAACGAGAAAAGGATGCGAGGGAGCTTTCGGCCTTGAAAGCCGAAAATGAGGCACTAAAAAATCAGGATCCATCGTGGAAACCCACTCAAGCCATGAATACACAAACTCAAAGGTCGTATCAATCCCAGGCAATTTACACCTCGGCTCCTCATGCCTCGACTGCAGCACCTCAAAAATTCCCTTCGGCCCTACCCACAGTCGGCCGACCCACAAATTTGGCAACTGTCGGGTCACACCGACATCCATTTACCCCCTCCATCATGCAGCTCCCTCTGATGGACAATTGGAAATCTTTACCTATTGATAAGTATGATGGTACTACTGATCCTGATGAACATCTTGATGTTTTTCTTACGCAGGTAACCCTGAGCACTACGGACGATGTTGCCTTGTGTCGCATTTTCCCTACATCTCTCAAAGGCAGGACTTTGAGCTGGTTCACTCGGCTACCCCCTAATTCGATCGACTCATTCAATACTTTATCGTCTCAATTTACAGTGCAGTTTGCAACGAGTCGTCCCCACAGCTTGACATCTTTATCGCTGATTAGTCTTCGGCAAGATAAGAAGGAGACGCTTCGAGTTTTCATGGATCGGTTCAACAAGGCAGCCTTGGAAATCCGAGATCTTAACCCGACCGTAGCACTTCATCATCTGACAACGGCTTTAAAACCATGGCCATTTGTTAATAGCCTTTGCAAAAAACCCCCTTCAGATATGAATGACTTACGCAGGAGAGCTGATAAATATATGCAAATGGAGGAGTTGGCAGAGTTTCAGAATCAAGCCCGAGCCGAAACCATAAATAAAATCGAAAAGCCTGGAGAGTCATCATTTCGGAGTCGCAACAAAGAAATAACACTTCGGGAACGACCTACACGAGGACCAAAATACTCGCAGTATACACCCTTGAATGCAAGTCGGGCAGCGATACTTGAGCAAGCTCTCGCCTCCGAAGTGTTGGCTGTTCCAAAAAGAGCAGCCACCCCGCCGCGGGCCGATACCAACAAGTCTTGCAGGTATCACCGCAATCGAGGACACTCTACCGAAGAGTGCGCAGCTCTGAAGGACAAAATTGAGGATCTAATTAAGCAGGGGCAGCTTCGTAATTTTGTAGATCGGTCAGACTCGTCTCGGTCTCGCTCCTCATTCCAATCTCGACACAACGATCGACATAGGCAAGATCACGCCGAGAGGCCCCGACGTGAACGTAGCAGGTCACGTGAAAGAAAGGATGAGCCTACAGGATCACATAAGCGAGTCATTAACACAATTGCAGGAGGATTCGCCGGAGGGGGTTCAACCTCCTCAGCCCAAAAGAGGCATTTGCGTGTCGTTCGGTCGATACACGTGGTCGACAAACAGCCAACTCGGAGGCTACCGTCAATCATCTTCACTAATGCTGACTTTCAGGGCATTGATCTCGTACAAGACGACCCAATGGTGATAAGTGTCGAAATTCATAACTGTATAGTTAAGAAAACATTGGTCGATCAAGGCAGTTCGGCAGACATTTTATACTGGAACACCTTCAAGCAATTGGGTATCTCGGAGAAGGAGCTCATACCTTATGATGATCCCCTGGTAGGTTTCTCTGGAGAAAGAGTAAGCACCAAGGGATACATCAAACTCTTTACCCGTTTTTGCTTTGATGAACAGGAATACAGAAAAATCCAGGTGAAGTACATAGTGGTGAACATTCACTAATGCCGACTTTCAGGGCATTGATCCCGTACAAGACGACCCAATGGTGATAAGTGTCGAAATTGATAACTGTATAGTTAAGAAAACATTGGCCGATCAAGGCAGTTCGGCAGACATTTTATACTGGAACAC